AATTCATCATAAGGGTGGGTATATAGCTGCAGCACTGGTGTGAACAGGTGTTTATATCCCTCATATTTGTATGGTATTTCAATTATTATTTGTATTGCTATTATTATTGTCTCATGCATCTCAATTTCTAGGTCATTCAGGTCATTCGCTGATACACTATGGAAAAATGCGAGACACAGACATGCAGAGAGCCAGAGAGAGAGTGCTGTGGCAACTAGGCAGGTGTCGATGTCTTTTTTTCTCTGTCTCGCTCAAAAACGGAGAGGCCGCCTCTGTTCTTTCGCCTGCGTCTGTCCGTCTGCCTCTCTTCTGCAAGCCGCTCCTAGCACTAGATTTACAATCAGATAGATTTAAAGGGATTTCTCTGAGCGGATATCATCTGAATAGCGGCGATAAATTCTGCCTCTCCCATATGATAGGTAATACCATTTTATGACTAAAGCACTCTAAATGCATGCTTAACGTATGTTTCTTTCATAACCTCTGATATATAGCTGCATTTTGACGTTTCGCTCTGTTGCAGCTCTATACCCTACCCTCACCAATTATGCAACAATCACCACCACAATATCAACAATTAACAATCCAGATCGCTCGCTCTGTCGCAGCCCTATACCCCAGGCCACCATATCTCCTCACGTACTCCATCTATATCATTTACCCTCAAATCCAAGCAAGATCACGAGTAATATCCACACAAATACCACAAATATACCAACAATATCAGCGAAAACCTTCAATTTATTTATCGAGCGTATGACAAAACATCAAACAATCAAGACTTCCAGATACACATTATGAAAATTCACAAAAGCAAACCAAAAATTACCAAAATAATCACAAAACATCCACAATTTTATCCAAAACGCTCGACAATCCGCCTCTATCTTGTCCTCACCAGCTCTCCTCCTATTTTCGAACTCCAGCTGTCGAGGCACGCTTCGCTGCTGGAGGAGCCTTTTTCGTAGGCTCAGGCTAAAACAGTCAGGTTAATAAAATCTATGATATATGGCTGCATCACATTTCAACGTTTCACTCTATTACAGCCCTATACCCTCGCCAAATCATCAACTACTACTCAACATAACCTCCTGACCTCAGCGGCCTTTTGTTCCGCAGGTTTTTCCGGCGGCGGAGCCTGGGGCGGTGGTAGCTCGTCCTCTTCGACCTCGTCCACTCCTGGGACAGCCAAAGGTTTCGGCTCGATCGGGGGCCTGGCTAGGTCGCCTTCTGCCTTTTGCTGTTCGACGTATTTCGGTGGCTCGAGGTTCTTACGAATTTGCTCGAGCTCCTCGTTCTCATGACGTCCCCAGTCTGGTGGCGGTCTGCCCGTGCCTCGTGCCACCTTCAGTCTCTTCGG